AGATTTTTATCATCATTGTAACATATTTAATAATTCTATATTTTTTGTACGTTTCATATAGACATAACTTACAATTATTTTTTTGCAATAGTTATAAATAATTAAATATTAAAACTTAATTGAGTATGATCATCATAGACACGAATAATGATTTTCATGAAATAAAATAAAAATAATATAAAAAATGACATGAAAATGAAAATTACAAAACCTTAAATGCTTAGAATTAATTAACCTTTTGGTATATTTAAAACGGATAATATCAAATAAAATACAGATTATTACCTCTGAGCCAACATTAAAAGATTCATAAAAATAATAAGTTGATTTGTAAAAGAGATTTATGAAACAACTATAGACATATATGTTAACCAAATGTCTTTTAGCAGTATCGGTAGTTGACCGAAATGTGTTATCAACTAAATGTTAAGGATTCAAATCTCGCTGGAGATAAAAGATGTAAATTTAACATTTTAATAGTACACAAAACTGCAAGAAAGTATTATGTTTTTTTTTCAATTTCATCATCCTACATACCACATTATCAGATGAGCAATATCATAATGTCACGACAATGCTACCTCATCAAAAAAAAGTAACGACAATGCCTAGTGCCAAATCAACGGTTGGTAACCTGGAAGTTACATGGTAAGTAGGGATGCAAACGAACCAAGCTATTCGTGAGCTACTCGGAATCGGATCGTTAAAAGTTCGACTCAAAACCGATTTTAAACGAGCTCCGAGCCGAGCTCGAACTTAATATTAAGCTCATTTATTAAATGTACTCGACCTCGAGTCCATGTTACTAGGCTCGATTAGGCTTGCTAGCCTAAACGAGCCTTATATAAATATAATTTATTATTATTTTTATATATTAAAATAAAAAATATTTGGAGAATTATGGATTTAGGATATTAGTAACGAGCTCGAGCCGAGCTTGAGCTTATTTAGGCACATCAGATAAAAAAAACCATTCGAACTCGAGTCCAATCCGAACTTGTATAATTCTTTATGAGCTCGATCCGAGTTTTGTACAAGAAATGTCAAATTGAGTCGAGCTCAAAATCGAGCCTCATATAACGAGCTTGAGTCGAGCCTATCCAAACTCGAGCTCAACCCGTTTGCATCCTTAATGGTAACCTACAAAAAAAAAAGGCAGATTGACTAAAAACAATAAAACGATATACTATTTGTAAAAACAATTTCATATTACAATTTTACAAAGCAGTGGTTTTTGTTTTATTTGTATGATATATTTGTTTTATTTTTAACAAGTAATTGCTAAGAGTTTGATGCATCCTCTTAAAAGAGCAAAGCCCACCAAAGAGAAGTTCATCATCTCAACGTCAAAAACCCAAATTTCAGAGTTCTCACATATAAACGCTCTCGAATGGAGAAAGGATTAATATTAGTGGATAGATGAGTTGAAGGTATATAAGTATGGTGGCAATTGTTGACACGACACGACAAAAATAATGACACGAAACGAAATTGGGGTGAAACTTAAATTTGAATTCGTGTTCGTGTCAAGTGTAAAATACACAACACAAGCTTGTATAAAATTATATGTCAATAAATATAACCAACTAATGACATTTTTGTGAGCCAACACAAAAATACGAAGTCTATTCTTAAAAGGAGATTTTAAGGGACCAAAAATCTTCTTCTAATGTTGTTGTAGAAGCTCCCATTTGAGAAAACATCATTTGTTTGCAAAAGATTTGAAGAACTTCTTGAAAACTAAAATTCAGCAAATGTTGCTAAAAGTCCAATAGCCTTTTAGAAAACAGCTTTAGCGACGGGTTTAAGAAGCTGTCACTGAAAATCCTGCACACATTTTAACTTTGAAAATGACTCTTTTTTCTTCAAAAAATGGATCCAACTTCATCTCTTGTTACATTTTTGTAATAATAAATTATTTCTAACAACTAATCTATAATTTACAAAAATAAATCAAGAAACTAACATATTTAATTTATTACATACCATATGAATAAATAAATTATTACAACCATTTTATAACAAAAATAATCAACACAACAAAAACTCACAAAATTTGTCTAGTTTATGCACATCATAGATATCAACATATACATCAAACGACCATTGTTTTTCTAAGACAACTTTAAATGACAAAAGATACATTAGAATATTTGTCACATAAAATAACAAGTATAAAGTTGTGATAGAAAATATGTATGAACTTGTTTTTATACAAAACCAAGTTATCCATATTATTCAAAAACTAAGATTTCTAAAAATCAAAAAAAAAAAATCTAACCAAAATTGCAAGGTGGCTCTGATAACAATTGTTGGGATTCAAAAACATGATTTTTAGCAATGGAAGACTTATCATTTTTTGAATAACATAAACAAGTGAAACCCACCAAGGATCTTTTTGCAAAGTTGTAGAAAGATTAAACAGCAACCAAAGAAGAAGACGGAGAAAATTACAACCTTTGTAGTTTTTTGGATCCTCTTGG